TCTTCCATAGTTCTACCCATTCTGGTTCTGCAGCCATGGTACTCGAGGTAAATTTCATCTTGTAGTTTCTGTTTTCCTTTCACAAATGTTCGATTTTCTCACAGTTCGAGATTGATTGAATTCGCTGAATTCGAGGATTTCGTGGTTTTCCTGCTATTGTTTTCGAAAGCTAGGGTTTACTAAATTTTGACTATCTTTCTCTCGATTGAATCAGGCGACGATGATATGCATTGACAACTCCGAATGGATGCGGAATGGCGATTACGCTCCTTCGAGATTTCAAGCTCAAGCAGATGCCATCAATCTTATTTGTGGAGCCAAGACGCAGGTAACTAATCTTGAACCCGTATTCTGATTTCCTCTAGCTGGTTTAGAATTGGAAGTCTGTAAAAATGTAGAATACACTTCATTATCAGTTATATTGCTTAATTGGAATTCTGCTCTATTTCTTCATTTTATGAGAAAACAAATCCTGACAATTGCTTTGTTGTTAAAAGTTTCGTTAGAAGGAATGAGTAGGAGGTTTATAATTTTGTATTTGGAATTTGCTTCTAACGACGACTAGTCCCTTTCTGTGTTTGCCCGGATTGTTATTCTGAGTTGTGAATGAACATTTTGGGTTCTGACAGTCTAATCCAGAGAATACTGTTGGGGTTCTGACAATGGCGGGAAAAGGTGTTCGTGTACTGGTCACTCCCACCACTGACCTTGGCAAGATACTGGCATGCATGCATGGTTAGTTGCATTTACCCTATTTATTGTAGATGTAGCATTGCAGACGTACCACCAGAGACCAATCTGCTGTCTCTAAGTGTTGGCCCTTTTTTATTCTCTTCAATTGTCTGTAGTCAATCACAAATTGAAGCTTCTTTTGAATGATGGTTTAGGATTCAATTTCTTGTAGTTGTATTATTATAGAGAGGAAGTCACATCAGTTTCTCCTGGAGTACTGGTTACTGCTGAACTAAAAAACATTATAAATTGTTGGATAGAAAATTGGTAGTTTGTATTTCTTTATTGGATTTATCATTTTTAGTCCATCTATTCATATTCTAAGTTGTTGAAACTACTTCCCAAACGTTAATATAGGTTTGGAGATTGGCGGTGAGATTAACTTGGCAGCTAGCATCCAGGTGGCTCAGTTGGCTCTTAAGCATCGTCAGAACAAAAAGCAGCAACAAAGGATTATAGTGTTTGTTGGAAGGTCTGTCTTCAAAAAAAATTTACACTCCATACCACCAAGACTGTTGTCGACTTACCCACAACGGTTATGTTTAATGCTTAGTGCTCTGTACCTTTGGCAAATAAATGCTTCTCAAACTCAAATTATTAATCTTAATTAGCCAAGGTGAATATGAAAAAATCTAATAATTTTTTTCTTTTGTCTTTATGCCTCCAATAAGGGTAATATTCAAAGGAAGACTTCAATTACGTGGAATATTTCCCTTCTTAGCTTTGGAGTAATTAAAATCCTGCCAAGATGAACTTTGAGAATCACTTTTAGCTTCTCAAAACAAAGATTCCAACATATACTAATTTATCATTACGCAATGTCTGATGCAGTCCTGTCAAACATGAAAAAAAGTTACTGGAGATGATAGGAAGGAAGTTGAAGAAGAACAATGTGGCCCTTGATATTGTTGATTTTGGGGAAGAAGATGATGGGAAACCTGAGAAACTGGAAAGTCTTCTGGCAGCTGTGAACAGTAATGACACCAGTCACATTGTTCATGCTCCTGCTGGTCCAAATGTGCTCTCTGACGTACTCATCAGGTTGGCCTTTGACTCCTTTCTATTTCAAGATCTTTTGTATTGCTTGTGTGATAGCACGTTATATTCTCATCTTGAGTTTGCTTTGTTTGATTTCAGTACACCTATCTTCACTGGAGACGGGGAGGGTGGAAGTGGTTTTGCTGCAGCAGCTGCTGCTGCTGCTGCTGGTGGCGTATCTGGTTTTGATTTTGGAGTTGATCCCAACTTAGATCCGGAACTTGCCCTTGCTCTTAGAGTTTCAATGGAAGAGGAGAGGGCAAGACAAGAGGCAGCTGCTAAGAAGTCTGCAGAGGAGAATGCAAAGCAAGAAAAAGGAGCTGAGCAGCCATCCGGCTCACAGGATGCAACTATGACTGAGCGTCCTGGACATGCAACTTCTGATGCTGAAAACAAGACTGCTGATTTAATGGTCAGTGTAGCTTGGCTTTTAGAAATTTGTTTTGACAGCAGTTTTTGTTTGCTAGACTGCGCTTTTAAACTTTAGCTTTTCAGAGTAATTTGATTTTAACCTTTAGCCTCTAAACGAGTTGATCCCCTTTTTTCTCCAATTTGAATATCTATGCTGCCCTTTGCGGCAAGTTATTGGCAGAAAGGGAAAAACAGTAATTATTATTTGAGTTGATTTTGATTAATAGGATGATGAGAATGCGCTGCTAGAACAAGCCCTTGCTATGTCAATGGATACTCCTTCTGCAACCAGTGACACACGAGACATTGACATGTCAGAAGCAGCAGCAGACGATCCTGATTTGGCACTTGGTAAGTCTTTTGCTGTTTCATGTTTTCCCATCATTTAGTTTTTCACGACTTTCTCTTCATCAAGCATCCTTTTATCATTAGAGTTTGTAGAGAAAACTCCATAAAGCATTACTTGATCACCCTATTGGCTTCATGAAATTTATAATGTTCTGGGTCTGAGTTGGTAATAAATAACAAATAAGAGGAATTATCCATTGATAGTTGACTATTAAGAAGCATAGCCACTTTAATTTGGCTAACTTGTTTGTGCCGGACACTTGTTAGCACAATAGACATGTGTTTGACACTAGTTGTATAAAGTGAATATGGGTTCAACATTTGTTAAACATACTAACGATAGTAATTTAGGAGAAAAATAATAAAATTTGTAAGCAAAATATATCGAACTTATTGATCTTTTGGGCCTATAAATTTATAAATAAACTTATTGATTTTGAGTTTCTTTTTGGTATAAAATTGATATGCATTATATTTTAACACATACTTGTCATACTTGTGTCTGTGACCTAGATTTTTCAATAATGAAAAATTCATATTAGTAAATGAAAAAATGTATATACTAGTCATTGTTGTGTTGTATCCGTTCATGCTTCTTAGCATGTTCCTACAAAACCATCCATCTGATAGTTGGCTTGCAGCTCTTCAGTTGTCTGTGCAGGAAGCTTCCAGTGATTCGACAAGCGAGACAGATTTGAGCAAACTATTGGCCGATCAGTCTTTTGTGTCTTCTATTTTAGCTTCAGTACGTCTACTTCATCCTTTTCTCCCTCTGTTTCCTTCTCTATATTGAGAAATTTAAGCATACTCTCACTGGGGCTGGCTCTACTTCCAGTTAAATAACAGCAAGAATTCTTTTGCAGCTTCCAGGCGTAGATCCAAATGATCCTTCTGTAAAAGATTTGCTTGCTTCCATGCAAAGCCAATCAGAGGTAAGTCGTGTAAACTGTAAATTTAACTGATGATATTGCAACAATAATACGTAGTTGAGCTTAACTGATTAAGAAATATATCCTCGATCAACGAGTACGATACAATCCTTGCCTCCCTCATATTGTTGAACTAAAAAAGAAAAATTGCAAAGATAAATATAACTGTTTTTACCCGAGGGTATCGGTAAGTATCTTTCTACATCTTTAGTTCGTTGACAATCAGGATTTATTATTTAGTACTAGGCTTTCTTTTTTCCTTCACCATTTCATCTATCAACTAATCATATTAGCCAAAAACGAAGACAACAAACTCGAACGTGGATTATTTTTACACATGCTACATTTTTGCTGCAGGATAAGAAAAACGACGACAAAGCATCGAAAGAAGATGAGAAGTGAGGCATTTTGAGCTCAGTTTCCGCAGTGTTTTTAAACCCAGAATCCACAGACGTCAAGGAAGATGCCTATTATCAGATCCTCACCAATGGATCTTGATATCTTTATCTTCTTCATTGTCAAAGGCCGTAGAATTCCTTCACATGTGAGAGGAGAGGAGCAGTAGCTTTGAAACATTTTCTTTTCACGAACACATTTTGTTTATTGAATGAAAATGATATGCTTGTCCAGTCTTTGAAGTACCTCTCGATTGTAAAAGCTAAACCCTCATAACATTTTAATACACAAAGTCTTCTTTTCCTTCTTGTTGCTCTATATCTCGATATCACATAATCATATAACAGGAGATTTCCAGGTTCAAGCAGGTTCCAGTTTCTCTACACCTAAATATGGAGAAAATGTCCTTTTGTGTTCAATTTTGGTAGAACTTGTATGAACTTTTCAACCCAAATATTGGATTTGTTGCATAACTCGTATGTCCTTTTGTGCAGTGATTTCAATGCAGTCCCCAATAGAGAAATTATATTTTTATTCTTATTTAAGAAAAATTGAAGATTTTAAGGTCTATGTTTGTGATTTTTTTCCAATTATAATATAAGAATATGTATATTAATTTAAAGGACCTTTCGATATTTTTTTTAATTATTATTTTTTCGTATCTTAAGTTTGATACTTAACATTTATGTCTCCAAATGTTTGATTCGGTTCAAAATTATTTCATTATATAATTCTTACATAAGAGAAATATTGTAAAATTAAAATGTTAAAAAATTATAAATTTAAGTACTAATTTAAAAGGTCGTATTAAAAAAAAAAAACCATGTAAAACCTTTTAAATATTTGAATTTAGAGCTATATCGTAAAATTTTATAATTAAAAGAATTAATAGAAATGAGATCAAATTTGTAATTTTCTTTAAAATTCTACTTTATATTTTTTAAAAAAAATAAAGAAGGAAGAAAGAAGAAGAAAAAAAAAGAAAAAACATCAAATAAAAGGATTAATTACAATTTTAAACAAACCATTGCAGTTGTTCGATTAAATAATAATAATAATAATAATAATAATAATAATAATAATAATAATAATAATAATAATAATTAAATAATGCTTAATGAAAAAGAAAAAAGAAAAGAGGGAAAAGAAAAGAACTGAGAAAGAGAGAGTGTTACCTTGTCGCTCAAGTCGGGTTTCTTTCTAAGATTGCCGCTGCAAAAAGCAGGGTGCGAAAGAGCTGAAGCGAGAGAACAATGGCGCGATACGATAGGGCTATCACTGTCTTCTCCCCCGATGGTCATTTGTTTCAAGTGGAATATGCTCTCGAAGCCGTGCGGAAGGGCAACGCCGCTGTCGGTGTTCGTGGCACTGATACTGTCGTCCTCGGTGTTGAGAAGAAGGCTGCGCCTAAGCTCCAGGACTCAAGGTACTTCCGCTTTATCTCTGATATTTCCATTGTATTGTCAGTTCCTGCTTGTGGATGGATCTAATTTAATTGAGGAAATGGAATGGTGAAGGTCCGAGATTCATTGAATCACTTGGGCTTCTTTATGGCCAGTGTTTGAATTTTCTGATAGGTTCGGTGGTTTCTGATTAATTTCCTTGATATGCTTTGCAAAATTTAGCTTGATCGAGTATTGTGCACTAGAGATACTGGATTTGGTATTCCCTGCCAAAATTACTGAATCTTCTGAGTGACGAATGCGTGTAATTGCCGTTTGGCTAAAGGATTTCAGACGTTATTGTATTTTTCCAACAAGTGATCCATTAATCTGCTAATTTAATGTGATTTTGCTTTATGGAAGTAACATAACTTCTGTGCTCTCTTCTGGCGGTAATATGTTAAAAAAATACCTTGACTTATCCAATTGATGTCTAACCGGTGGACATTTTGAAATTTAACGATACAACGCAACGTAACCAATCCTCAATTGGCATTAACAGTACTGGTTTGTTCAATTTGTTGGAATGCTTACTTTGTTATACTAAGATGACCGTGTTGTATGCCATTAATGGCGGTATCATGAATGATTGTCTTGGCAGAAGAAAGTTCTATGTCGTTACCATAATTTATATATGTTGGAGTATATTTTATACATCTTCTATTCAGTGAAATAACCATTACTGATATTTGCCTTTTGTTTTCAGATCTGTGAGGAAGATTGTGAATCTTGATAATCATATTGCACTTGCTTGTGCTGGGCTCAAGGCAGATGCACGTGTCTTGATAAATAGAGCTCGCATTGAGTGTCAAAGCCATCGGCTTACAGTTGAGGATCCAGTAACTGTGGAATATATTACTCGTTACATTGCAGGTCTTCAGCAGAAGTATACTCAAAGTGGTGGAGTACGACCATTTGGCCTCTCAACCTTGATTATAGGTTTTGATCCATATACTGGCGCACCCTCACTTTATCAGACAGATCCTTCTGGGACGTTTTCAGCTTGGAAAGCAAATGCAACTGGTAGAAACTCCAATTCAATAAGAGAATTCTTAGAGAAAAATTATAAGGAGACTTCTGGTCAGGAAACTGTGAAGCTTGCTATCCGTGCATTACTTGAGGTGAGCACATTAATACTTTTCATTAGGTTTTGCATATACGTAGATTATATTGTAGTTCTTATGACCTTCGTGTCTAAATAGCTCTTGGGGCTGATGGGGATATCTATGTTTGGTATGTTTAGATTTCTTATTAGCTCTGTTTTGCTTCTTTAGTCCATTTCTGGTTCAATGGCTATTGTAAGGAATGAGTCGTGTAGATGGGCATGCCATTTTTCTTATGGATCTAAAATGTTATGCAGAACAATATCACTTGCCAAATCGTTGGAAGAACAATGAATTATTTTCTCTCTTAAATGCAGGTTGTTGAGAGTGGGGGAAAGAACATAGAGGTTGCTGTGATGACAAAAGAGCAAGGACTGCGACAACTGGAAGAAGCTGAAATTGATGCTCTCGTTGCAGAGATTGAAGCAGAAAAAGCAGCTGCCGAGGCTGCAAAGAAAGCTCCTCCCAAGGAAACATGAACCCTTTTCCTCCACTTCTTCAGGCATTTCTTAATCTTTTACTTTTCTGGTGTAGTGCATGAATCGTTAAATTTTATTTTGAAATTTCAAACGTGTATCATTGACATGAGGTGGCCATAGATGTAGCCTCTGAAAAATGCCCTATTTCAATGGGATTCCAAAATGGTCTGATTACTATTGTCGTTTAGAAGGTCTAAATAGTACTCCAAACATGGTTGTGATGCATGCTTTCATAGCCTACGCTTGTTGGAGGTGAGCCTAAAGAGATTTGTATGAATTTGAATAGGAACTAGAGATTAACTTGGCTGCAATGTTCTTGCTAGTGGGTTCATAAAATTGCTCAGTGATGGACCAGTTACGTCAACTCTTCATTCAGAACAGTGACATTTTGGAAGTTCGAGAATTTGGGAAGGAAATTCCAGTGTTCAAATTTGTTTTTTTTGGATGGGTAAGTGACAAGCACATGGTTTTGATATGGTTTTGGCCTCATTTATTTATTAATTTTTATCTTGATTCCTAAATTTTAAGATTTCAGTTTTGATCCTTCAATATTAACTTACTTTCTATCTTTTATTTCCAATAGTAAACTTTTAATTCTTTTATTATCTTTTTTTTTTATTTAAAAAAGGTCTTTTTAGTTGATACAATAATTTTTTTTTTTTTATATATATATAAATTTTCGATTTCTAATACTTATTAGAGTATAGCTCAATTGATTAAGTCATTAGTAACTTGTTTCAAGTATGGTAGATTCGAGAGGTGATTTTTAGATTTTGATGATGCAAAGCGATAAGTTGAATATTATTTCTCGTTTAAATTGTAATATTTTAAAATTTATTAAATGATGTATAATACTAAAAATGTATATTTATTTAAATAAATATAAATATATACTCAAATAAAGAGAGATATTAATAGCAACTGAAGGAGTTGTTAATTTTATTTGTCTTGTTTGTCTCATTGAAAATAAAATTCATGAACTTGAAATAATTTTGAATTCTAGGTTATTTTAGAATTAAAAGTTTCCGAAGAAATCTTTTTTTTAATCCTGCTAATTAAATTAAATAAAATAACCCAAAATATAGAGCCCCGAAGTTGAGAATCGGAAGCCCAGTTTCGAAACGCGTTATCAAATATAGTTTCTCCGCCTGCATCATTGTAAGAGATCGTCCCTCTTCCGTTATCAGCGAACGGAGCACAGCCATGAAAGATGACTATGAGGTATGGAAATTTCCTCCTTCATAACCCTCGACCTTTTTCATCTTGAACTCTTCATCATGTTCGTATGAATCGAGTCCCTTTTATCGCACTTATGGCTAGTAATTATGCGATCTTGCGCTAAAAATCAAGGTTCTCAAGTCATCCACCCCCCCCCCCCCCCCCCCCCCCCCCCCCCCCCCCCCCCCCCCCCCCCCCCCCCCCCCCCCCCCCCCCCCCCCCCCCCCCCCCCCCCCCCCCCCTTCCCCCTCTCCTGTTGATTTTACAGTTGCAGTCGTCTTAAGGTTATTTCATGGTTAGATCTACTAACTTTGTTCTGCAACATTTATCGCCTGCTAGAATTTCTGTTATGCAGAATTTTGTGGATTTTGATTCAATCTTTAAAGCTTGAGCTTATTGGTTAGATAGATTTAGCCTTTTTCAACTTTGCTGAGTGGTGACTAGTAACATTCGATATTCTTTATTTCCTTTTTCAATAGTGAGAGTGAAATAGTCATTTTCTTGTAAAAGAAATCGTGAATTATTACTGTCTTTCTGTAAAAGATTTCGCATCTTTGAAGTGGCGGTCATGAGAAACGAAATCCAGGTAATATAGTGGTGATTGAACGGGTTTAAGATTTAGGATGTTATTTTCCTTTTGAGTTTAGTACATTTCTAAAAATTCTTTCTGATCCCTAGTTTCTAAGTTACATAACTTACATCAACTAGCTTTTATTCTATATGGATGCGTTGTTCGTTGAGTTCCTGATTTTTCTATTTTGGTTCTGTTTGAATTTGTTGTAATAATGCTTTCCAGTTTCTACAATTGCCTATTATTATTCAATCCTTTTTTGGTCCCCAGAATTTCTGAAATCCTGTTGATGGACAGAGAGCTGAGTATGATTTAACTTTTGTAGGATATTTGGTAATATCATGTGCTTAGATTTGGAGCATCAAAAAGTTAGAAATCTGTGTGTCACTAGTTTTGGACCTATCATCATCCATATTTGATGTCCATACAAAGAAGCCTAGGATTTACTTTAAGGACATTAGGTCAGTTCTGTTGTTATGTCTTAGAGATGGCTTCCTGTTCTAACTGAAGTGTTCATGAGCCATTTGTAATTGAGTTAGGCTTCCTTGCCATCTATGTTTCTGTCTTTTGTGCTGTCGTTCTGATTATAAACATGACAAATTTGCAGACTGATGAGAAAAAGCAAGCTGCTGCTGATGTAATGTTTCAATATTCAAAATTTGTGATGGCTTGTATTGGTAATCAAGTAAGACCATGCGATTTGAGATTTCATTTGATGAAGGTAAATTTTCCTTCCGTAGACTTCTCATTGATAATTGTAGAAATCCTTAACTTTTGGTTGTGTTTATTTAATAGAATATGATGGAATAACTTTAGTTTTCCCATTTACATTTATATTGAATTGAAAACATCGCCCATTTTTATCGTGAGTTGCACACTTGATCACTCACTTTGTTATCTTTAATTCCTTTGCACTTGAACATTGTTTTCGCATAAGAATCTTGGACTTGCCTAACATGATAAAGTGAACAATATCTGCCAACAGTAGTTTTGAGTTGTTACAGTCGTATCAGAACCAGACACTAGGCGGTGTGCTAGTGAGGACGCTGGCCCCAAAGAGGGTGGATTGTGAGATCTAACATCGGTTTGAGAAGGGACCGAAACATTCCTTATAAGGGTGTGGAAACCCCTCCCTAGTAGACGTGTTCTAAAACCATGAGGCTGACGACGATACGTAACGGGCCAAAGTAGACAATATCTGCTAGCAGTGAACTTAGGCTGTTACTGGAAAAATTAATACCCAACTCCATTTGTTTAGATTCATGGAAATCTTCCCTTTGCACCTGTTAAGATATCAAAGCATAAAAGAACACGGTTGTTGTTTCTTGTTCAGGAGATCTCTGGAATACCAACGTCATTGAAGAGAGAATCGTCCCAACGAGCAGCATCTCCCGATGCCATGGGCGAATCGTCAAGCTCAGGTACAGCTAGACTTGATAAAGTAGACAGCTTTCGAGCACTGTAATTTGACTCCCAGTTGGATGCCTTCACTGCATATGAGAGTTGCCTGCCTTGTGCAGCCTCCTCTATTCTTTAAATCACAGCGCTCTCGTTAATTGCAGTTGTCTATTTGCTGTTTGCGAAGAGATGGAAACCTTCACTATTTTACATGTATTTCTTTGAAGCGCTATATGTTTAATGCGAGTACATGGACCGTTGGATATTAATTGGGCCCGGCCCAATATCTCCTCTCTAATGGGCTTTATCCAATTTGTTCCAAGCTTCGAAACACAAGTAAACATATGTATTTTTTAACTTGGAACACATTATTGATCATTTTAATTGTAGAATTTTATTGATTGCTATAGATCGTTTATAAGTTTTCTAATGGTAGTAATTATGATTTTTTAGGATTTTATTAGAAATTAAATTTGATGATTGAAAATGTTATTTTAAGATCAATTACTTGAATTATGTATTACTAAATTAAACCTAAAATTTCTAATTAAATAATAATGAAAAATAATATAATGATTTTTATATAACATAAAAATAACTTTTTAATAATTGATTAAATCAATGATATTGTAAATCATATCAAGTATGTCTCGTTTTTTTATAATTGGTTAAAATAAAACTTTTTGGGTCATTCTCGGAATCCTTATCTTTGTCACTATCAAATCTACACCTGACTTGTTGAACCAAGCTAAGGTCACAAATGAATCTACATATCTTAGGGACGAGAAATTCTTCGTTGGCGGTAAGTTAATCGTGAATGGACTAGAACTCTAATGGTTGAGCTAGGTATGTATGCTTATCAATCTTGTCCAGAGTGCGCGGGAGACTGCCTCGCCGTGCCCTGTATCAATGTTAATTGAACGTGACTAATAGATTGCACTTCTTTTTTATTACAATAGGTAGAGTTTTTTATAATTTATTTATTTATTATGAAAAAAAAAAGTATAATTGTTTTTAAAACTAGCAGTACTTACAAAATCTTAGACACATTTTTTAAAAATTAAATCAAAATAATGATATTTTGTTTTCTTTTCATTTTTTGGATACCAAAAATATATTAGATAACAGACAGTTTTTGCATCAATAATATAATATAACTTTTCGAACGTGGAACATGCAACGGCTAGTTGCAGAAACAGTAACCCTCCCAACGGTCACAAATTCAAAAATTTCCTGATATTAGCCCCCCTCCATTTCGGCTTCCTCTCTCACTCTGAAACCCAAACCCCATTTCCCTGCGGCCCTTTCACTCTTCTTCTTCCAACTTCATTCTCAGAATTCCACAATGCTGCAGGACATGTGGAACGCTCCTCCGGGCTTCAGGCCTTCCAAATCCGCCCCTTCTTCTCCGGCGAAGCCTCTTGGCATCTCCAGGCTCCGATCCGAGTCATTCCATGTCACTCACAAGGTTCCTGTCGGGGATACGCCCTACGTTAGGGCAAAGAATGTTCAGGCAAGATTTCTAGAGCTTTGAATATCAGTTTCTCTGGCAATTTCATTTCTATTTGTAGGTTTTTTATTGAATTTGTTGGTATACTGATGATTTCTTCTTATTCTGTTCGCTCAGTTGGTGGATAAGGATCCGGATAAGGCGATTCCTCTCTTTTGGGCCGCCATTAATGCAGGGGACAGAGTTGATAGTGCCCTGAAAGATATGGCGATTGTTATGAAACAGCAGAATCGAGCCGAAGAAGCAATCGAAGCGATTAAATCGTTGCGGAGTCGGTGTTCCGATCAGGCTCAGGAATCTCTGGATAATATTCTTCTGGATCTATACAAGGTCTCTTTAATTTTCCTTTCTTTACTGCCTTTGTTCTTAATTGTGACGGAAACTGATAATTTTTCTGGACAATTTCAAATCTAAATCCACAGAGATGTGGAAGGTTGGATGATCAGATAGCTCTATTGAAGCATAAACTATTGTTGATTCAACAAGGATTAGCGTTCAATGGGAAGAGAACAAAAACAGCCAGATCTCAAGGAAAGAAGTTCCAAGTCTCGGTTGAGCAAGAAGCAACTAGATTACTGGTAAGATCTTGAACAAGTTCTTCAAGAACTTAAACATGGATTAATCAGTGATTAATCTGATATTTTTTCTGGGTTTTTTCAGGGTAATTTGGGATGGGCATTGATGCAGCACAACAACTACGTTGAAGCAGAAGATGCTTACAGGAAAGCACTCTCAATAGCACCGGATAATAACAAAATGTGCAACCTGGGGATCTGCTTGATGAAACAAGGAAGAATATCAGAGGCTAAAGAGAATCTACGAAGAGTAAAGCCAGCAGTGGCAGATGGGCCAAGAGGAACGGATTCCCATCTCAAAGCTTATGAAAGAGCACAACAGATGCTCCAAGATCTTTCGTCTGAGATGATGAATAGGGGAGGCGACAGGCTCGAACAGAGGCGGCTTTTCGACGCGTTTCTCGGTTCTTCGTCGATTTGGCAGCCTCAGCCTTGCAAGGATCAAGCAACAACAGCCTTGCCAGTCACGAATCCTAGTAGGGTTATTCAAGATGATTTTGGTGATGAGAACATTGATATGAACTTGTTAGCAAACGCCCAGATGGTTCCTCCTCCTCACCAACAATCACAGCAGAAATATATCAAACAAGTTCAAATTCCTTTAGGGAATTCATTGAATATTGCAGCCCAACCATTCTTCTCATCAAAATTTGTTAGTGAACCATCCATCACCAAAGTTCCTCCCATAGGAAACAACCAATTTCCTGAAGGTCTGAAGAGAACAAGGTCTGGAAATGCAGCCAGTTCAATGAGAGTAAGTGACATGGTGGAAATAAAAAGGCCATTTGTAGCTGAAACTAAGACAAGGACATGTCCTCCTACTTCTGAGGAGACAGACAAATTGGCGGCAATGTTGCCTGATGACAATGACTTTGAAGAGGCCATTCTTGCTGCAGTTCTGGGCACAACCAATGAAGTAGAGAAGAAAGCAGGAACCAATGCCAGGGATGTCGGCGGCGGCGGCATAATTCAGAGGAAAATTGAGAAGAGGCTCAAGGTTTTTCAAGACATTACACTTTCCTTGAGTCCCAGAGCCTGAGTGTGTTCTAATTATTAACAATAAGTTGTTACGTTTCTAATTGAATTTTTAATCTATTAATAGAGTTAGTGTGTATGGGGCAGAGGAGATGAACTTGTTCTCCTTTGGGGCTTTCTTTTAGCAAATAGTAGTGACTGCATAAGCTTATTTGTTTCTCTATTTTATTCCCACATATATATGGCCTCTAATATGGGTGTCTGCCATATGATGATGATGATAATAATAATGTCTTCCAGTTTTCTCAACTTACTGTGTGCTTTCAAATTTGTTCCATCTTGTTAAAAAGGATGATGAAACGATCTTATATAACATTTCTCTTTATCAATGGATGCCCCGCCAGCAACCTCCACTGCAACAACCCCAGAAAGCTCAAAACTTATGATTAGAGGAGAATGAGCCAAATCTTAGAGGATGTAACTTGAATAGGTTCCCTTAGACTTTGAAATTTTCTTATTTGCTAACTAATTGCGTTAGAAACTATCCTATATTGTCTATTTTAAGCATAGTGCATAGCATAAGCTCTCACGATTTCAAATGAAGATGTGTTCCTCTTAATTTTGTCAATGTGGGACTACTACTCCTCTCAATAATCCTCGACCCAATGAACCTCCGCAATGTGTTCCTCTTAATTTTGTCAATGTGGGACTACTACTCCTCTCAATAATCCTCGACCCAACAAACCGCAGCAAAAGGAGAAGAAGTGTAACAACAAAAGCTCATCACTAACAAATATTGTCTTTTGCGCAGCAAGAGGAGGAGAAGTGTAACAACAAAAACCCATCACTAACAAATATTGTCTTTGAGGAGAAGTGTAACACCCTAAGCCTACCACTAATAGATACTATCCTTTTTGAATTTTCACTTCAAGGTTTTAAAATGCATCTACTTGAGAGAGGTTTTTACACCCTTAAGGAATGTTTCATCAAGTAGATCCCCAGATCATCATAACAGTTGGGACAGAGATTGAACATCGCCATCAAATTTAAACCGACATTGGAAGAAAGACATCATTAGCTCAACTGATAGACTCACAAGAAAGAGAAACGGAAAAAGCTCACCTCAGAAATAAACTGCAATTTTCAGTTCCTTGTTTGCAGTTCTTTGTTTTCGTTTTAGCATCATAAGTACCAGCATCATGCCGCCTGCCCAGCAAATCCCTCTGTATTCAACAAATGAGATTTAATAACGATCATTATTAGTACAGTCATTCAAAAACCAAAATTGCCTAATAATTTCCCAAGAAAATTCCGTATTTAATTTATTTCGCTTTCCCTTGCAAGTTTCTCATCAACCACAAATACATCATAGCTAGAACGAGAACTTACGCTAAACGAAAAGCATAAAAGGAGCGCATTTCTCCTAGGAAATTAGGGCGCCAAGGTCTCGAGGGGCCTTCTCCATCTCCTTGAGGTATGTGGCTGATAAAATTGACATTTTATCTATTTTAGTCCATACTTTTCTTTAAATTTAGTCCTAATATTTTCAATAAATTTAAAATTAGTTCTAACTTTTCAAAAAAAAACTTTATTAGTCTCTATAAATTTTTAAAACATTTTCAAATTAACCAAATGATTTGTTTTAAATTTTATTGAAATTACCCGTTACACATTTGAAAATATAATAATTAATCCTATAGACCAAAATAGTATTTTAATTAAAAAAAATATTATAAAACTTAAATAACTAAAAGTATTTTATAAATTTTATCAGTTATAGTAGTCCTACTCATGCAGTTCTCGAATTTAAAAAATGAAGTAAAATTCTAATTGTTCAGTAAACGACTCAACATGTCATTAAATAAATTTTTAACTTTCTTTATACAATAAACTTCAATTAATCTCATGACAAATTAACATATATGGTTATTCTTTCCTTTTCAGGGAGAGAATCAAGTAGATAATTGTATACAATAAAAATAAAATGAGTTAAAATATTATATTTAATTTTAAAATATTATATTTCTGCCCAAATTAAGTATGTGGAATGTGGATGCAGGTTTATGGAAATATTAACATGTACAGCAACTTACAAGAGTCAACTGCGTCTGCATGGCTTCTCAGTCAGAAGAGTTTCTTTGTAGCTCTCTCTCTCTCTCCCTGTTCATTCCCAAGAAAAAGAAACAGATAAGAACAAGAGATGAAATTACAAAAATAAATAACAGTTTACTTGATGTTAGCTGTTTTCAAAATATCAAAAAAAAAAAATTGTTACTTATTTCTTATTAAATTTAAGAAACTCATACAACTTTATCAATTCTAGATGATATCAAAATTTACAGTCCATGACATTTGCATTTACATACAACATTATCATCAATCTACTAACTCAGCTAGCAATATTTTCAAAATGTAAGCTATGATAATTCAAATAATTAGTCTTAACATGGAAAAGTTGTAATGTACAATATTTTTCTAAAAAGTCCAAAATATTTCCATTTCGAACTATGCAACCTCTGCAAAACATGCAAATCAAAATGGAAAAACTATCCCAAGTTAGATCAATCAAGGCAATTGAACTCCGCAATAGTCATAGTTTTTTTTATTTTGGCCCAAATCGACCTGTCTAGGCACGCATGCGCTACACACTGTCAATGACCCTTGGTAAAAGGGTAAAAGATTAAAGTGGAATGACACGTGGAGGTAAGATTATACTAAATAGCCATATTTAGAGTGTTCCGTTACAGTAATTTGATAGGAACAGGTAGGACGATTTCGTCTTTTCGAAACGGTTATAAAAATTACTGGCTCGCTGCCCAACACCCTATTTGTCTCTCTGGGCTGCATCTTTAAGCCTGACTATGTATATACTTCCAACTCCCAAACTTTTCTTTTTCCTTTTTCCATTTTTTTTTTCTGTACCATTTTCCATTTTTCCCTATTGTTGTTTCTTTATTTCTCTGTGAAGTGGCCAAAGCTCACAGGTTGAAGTGGGTCAAGTCCGAGTCTACAAGGCTCAGAAAAAGGCACCGGCTTTGCCAGCGAGTAACAAGGAAGAAAGAGAGTAGCTTTTTTAGGCACGAGTTTGACAGTAGTGGCCTGAAGCACCACCACCACCATGACCACAACCAATGGAATATCTGCCATTTTAGCTTCCGTCATTGGAATGTGAAGAACGGCGGAAGATCGGAAGCAGAAAGCCGCCGGAGATTTGTTCTGTTCTTGAGAAGCTTTCTTCTTTCCATCTTTTTGAGATTTTGGCCGAAGGAGATTAAAAGGGAAGAAGCTTAATAAGGAACTGAAATGGGTAGCTGTTACTCGAGATTAGAGAAAGGAGAAACTGTGTCNAGGTGCAAAGCAAGAGAGAGGTACATGAAGCAGTTGGTGAAGGCGAGGCAAGCTTTTTCTGCTTCTCACAGCTTGTACATTCGTTCCCTTCGCGGCACCGGCGCGGCTCTCCGGCAGTTTTCCAATGAAGAGTCCTACGTTCACCCCCCTCTGCACCACCACCTTCCGCCGGAGGTTCCATCTCCAACTCCACGAACGCCGCCACCGCCGCCTACACTTCCACCTCCACCTATCCCCATGAGTCCCAGTTCCGACACCTGGACGTCCACCACGGCCTCCACGGCTCTGCCTCCTCCTCCGCCACCACCGCCGTCATCCACTTGGGATTTCTGGGACCCTTTTGTGCCGTCGACGTCTCGCACTGAGGAAGAATGGGAGGCTACCACCATTGCATCGGAGGCTAGGATCACTGTAACAGGGGCGGCGAGTTCAGCGCCGCCGCCGTCGGTGGTGAGTGGTTTTTCAAAGGACGCTTCGAGCACTGAGCTTGCTGTGGTAGTGTCAAGGAACACTAAAGATCTGGTGGAGATTATCAAGGAGCTTGATGAGTACTTTCTCAAAGCTGCCGAAGCTAGTGCTGGGCTCTCTGTGCTTTTGGAAATTCCCACTTTCTCTTCTCAGAATAAAGGAGGTAAGTCTAATATCAAAGAACTAGAAAAGCAACCAAATCATACAGTAACCTAATGAGTTTCATATCATGTCGCTAGCAGGACAGGTTTACAGTAATAGGTGGAGCTTGAGCCCTAAGTTGAGGGTGTGGGGTTCAAACACAAAACCAGATGCATTTGGAAAATTAAACGGACAACTAACAGCAACAAATATGGGAACTGGATATACAGGGAATAGCGGTAGCCACTGCTCAACAGTGGAGAAGCTGTATGCTTGGGAGAAAAAACTGTACCAGGAGGTCAAGGTAATGCTATCACTTTCGCGTATTTCAATCAAATCTCCAGTCAGATTGGAGGAATAATATGACATTTTGGTGCTTTAAATAATAAAATCTAATTTGAAATGATTCTTCCCACTTTTTCTTCCTTTTACCTAATGGGGTCCAACGTAACAAAACAAAGATGAAACCTTTAGCATTTCTCAATGCAATTGAAGGCAGTGAAGAACCGAATTGTGGAATCCTTTGTGCTAAAGTTTGGTGAAATTATTGTTTGAGTGGCTTTTTTAGATTGCCGAGGCCATAAGGATAGAGCATGAGAAGAAGGTGGACCTATTGAGAAAGCTAGAACTGAGGAGGGCTGATTACCTGAAGACTGAGAAGACTAAGAAAGAGGTCGAGAAGTTGGAGTCCCAGATGATGGTTGCTTCTCAGGCCATCGAAACCACATCGACCGAAATCATCAAGCTAAGAGAAATTGAACTCTACCCACAACTCCTTGAGTTTGTCAAAGGGTTAGTCTCTTTCAAATTTCTGTTTTGGCCTCAACAGAAATAGGAAATCGCTAGTCATTTGACTGTACTCTCAATGTATTGTTTTGCAACCTCTGGTGTTTCAGGAAGCCTAACTGAAAAATTACGAAGCATCTTTTGGATGCTTCATGGGCATAAAAAGCATTGCATCTGAACTTGGAAGTATACTAAACACTAAGATTTTCCTTGGTTTCTACAGATTGATGTGCATGTGGAGGAGTATGTACGAGTGTCATCAGGTACAAACACACATTGTTGAGCAGCTCAAATACCTAAACATCTTACCATCTGCTGAGCCAACATCTGAGATCCACCGCCAATCCACTCTCCAGCTTGAGCTTGAAGTTCAGCAATGGCACGGTTCTTTTTGCAATTTAATCAAAGCTCAACGGGATTATGTCCAATCTCTTACAGGCTGGCTCCGGCTTAGCCTTTTCCAGATAAGTGGAAACCCCTTATTAAGAACAGATCAACATTCTAGAATTTACAAACTTTGTGAAGAATGGAACCTTGCAGTTGACAGGATTCCGGACAAAGTGGCTTCCGAAGGGATCAAGAGCTTCTTAACCGTAATCCATGCCATTGTTGTTCAACAAGCTGCGGAAAACAGGCAAAGGAAGAAGGCAGATTCTGCCTCCAAAGAGCTTGATAAGAGAGCTAACGAGCTAAGATCACTAGAAAGTAAATATGTCTCACATTCAATGCGAGAATGCTCAGCATCCACGAGAGGGAGAGACCCAGTTCAGGAGAAGAAAAATAAGGTGGAGAACTTGAGAACAAAAGCTCGAGATGAGAAGCAAAAGTATGAAAGTTTGATCAGTGTGACAAGGTCAATGACAATATACAACTTGCAGATGAGTTTTCCCCATGTTTTCCAAGCAATGGTCGGGTTTTCAAGTGTATGCATGCACGCATATGAGGCAGTTTACAATCAAACTAAAAATCCTAACCAGCATGAGGTGAAGAGATTACTACCGTGATGACAAGATCCTAATCAAGAGAGATTATTCGGACCAATTCCTGTGCATAAATGTGAATTCAACCGGGGGAAGTTTTCTGGATAAAGGAAGAAAGTCATGTAACAACTTCATTTATTTTGATAGAACATATTGTTTGGATAATGAAAAAAAAAAGGATGCAAGTGGGCCATTTCGCCAGCTTTTATGAACTGGGTAGGAATACAGAGCCAGGAATTTTTAGAACTCGTAGCCTTGTTGTTCTTGTAAATAGATATCTCATCAAATTTCGGAAGTTTATTTGCTTAACTATTCATATCATTATATTATTACTCTATGGTCAATTATGCACAGTTGGAAGTCCTATCGTTTCAAGAGCTAAGGGCCCCTTGAACAAGTAATCATATATGCGTGTGCACATATAGATGCATCAAAGCTGAAATAATCGGAGTAATATTTTCAACAAATCTTAGTAACATACGAGACCGTACCTACTCAGAAGTCAGAACTCGAAAGTTTCAATGACAACACCTCTGAGAAACAGCTGCCGGAAGCTGATTCCCAAGAGTTCAGACACCGTCTTAAATGAATAGGCAAAAGGATTTCTGTAACAAAGACGATAATTTGTACTCAAATTCATATTAATATTTGAATAATGAAGAGAAAATTACATTTTACAAAACCACGCGTGGTAAGGAGCAAGACATCCTACCGTCTTGGGATTGCTTAATAACTGTGTGCCTATCTAATTTACCAAGCTTCAATTTCATCTGAAGTATGACACTCTCAATACGCTAAAATTTTCGTGACGCCCGGTGCCCTACTACCCAGCCACTTCAATGCAGGTAGGTAGTCTGTGGACACTACTGAAAAATCAACTAAGCCAAGTCCACAATAAGCGATAGATCTTTGTTTTACCATCTTGACTGCAAAACATTTAAAAAAAAAAACAAAATAAATAGCCTAACAGTATGTACATAGCATCGACTCAGAACATTCTTAACCATTACAAATTACGCATGACCTTTTTCTTGTTTGCAGAAAGCTCCTCCAATGAATGTGGTCATCAATCCATAATTCATTTCTATAAATACCTCCAGAACCTGATGCACATCAAGCGAGAAGCTGAACGTGACTATGACCTAAAATAAGATCACAGAGATTCAAATTAAAATATGCAATTCTAAATATAGTTGTACGAAATCTCTGAGACGTTCGATCATCTTCCACTTCAGATATTTCAAAGTAATTGAGTCCACGTAGAAAATATATTAACATCAGAACTTTCCTTGGGTATACACTGGAGTAATCAACAGAAAATTGAGAGAAGCTACAGCGACACAGTAATGGCATGCCACAGATACTTTGAAGGTAGAAAAGACTTTACCAAAATCTTCACAAATTAAGTTGAATTGCATAAAAAAAAAAATAAGATATCAAAATGCGTAGTATCAAAGAACTAAAATAATTGAAAAGCCCTAAAAACTGCTTAGAAGCATTCAGTAGGGGGGGGGGGNGGGGGGGGGAATTAATAGCTAAAGAAACTGCTATGAAACAGGAGAATATATTAGCAATGAAACAAAAGAGGCTTAGCATTGGAAAAATCCAAATCCTTCCTCATTATCAACATCTCGCGACACGTAAGAACAGAGCTCGAGACAATAAGACAAAATTGCAGGTCCAACGCAAGTTTTTCTTCAGAGCAACAACTACACACAAGCTAAATTCATTCTCATCTGTGCGCACACGCACTCCAGAATCTAATACGGTGACAAAAGAGTAATGTAAAGCATGGACGAGAAACAAGGAATTCCACATATACCTCAACATTGCGGAAATCCTTATGCAATTATGTCCGAGAACCTAAGATTAGAGACTTCTTCACTTGCCGATATCTCTTCCAAGGAAATGGTGATTGCGATTTCGTCTTTCGATTACTGCGTTTCGAACTGGATGATCGACCACCACAGTATTCTTCATCCGACGATAGTAAAACCAGACTGTTCTCCTTCTTCGTCATCCTCCGAGAAACGGAATAAAAAATTTAGAGAAACATACAACGCAACGGAGAAATTATCAACACCATTTCTGAGTTCGGAGTCAAAAATCGGCCTACAACGAACTGGAGCAGAGTGCGTCTGAACAGAAATTCTCGTCTTCGAGTGAAAGATGACCGAAGGTTCATCGTGCCATTGTTCTACGAGTTCATGGAGCGGATTTCGCGGGCTTAGGGAAATGGCGGGTGAAAATTCGAACAACGCCGTGGCCAAGAAACTAATTACAACGCCTCGGGCTGAAAAAACTTTCACGAGCCAGCCCATTTTGTAAAGTTTATTGGGCCTAGGCCCAACTTTAACCTTAACCGTTAAAAGTGAAATTCCCAGCTTTTACCTTAACCGTTAAATTTTTTTACTGGTATGAACTTGCTGAATGTTATTAACATCAATAACTAATTTCATTAGTTTTACTTTAGTCAATATTATATATTTTTTTCCTAATATAAATCCTTTGATTATGCATAAAGTCCTAATAAATTTTCAGTTAATTATAATTAAGCAGATAAATACACTTGCAAGGACAATTTCGGAAATTGAAATTTAGTGACCTCGTTCAATTGAAGTATAAACCAACTTTTAAAATTTAAATAAAAGTTAAAAATGGAAGTTTATTTTGGTCTTTAAAATTTTAAAAAGTAAAGTTCAAAAAAAAAAATCTAAAAGGGTAATTTAACGTAAAATAACAAAAATAGTACATAAAATCAAAATATTTTGTATATAATTTAAAAATTATAATATTAAATGCGATTTTCATATCATAAAATTTTACCAAATTATTTCAAAATATTACTAGATTACCCTTGTAAAATCACGACCTTAAAAACTAATTAATTTAAAAATTACAAATAAAAAAATAAAAGAAAAAAAATATCTACGTGGACAGCAATATCTCACAAGTCATTTACATTACATTGTCGTTCTTTTCACATTAAAACACAAGCATTGGGATTCTCATCACTAAAGGCGGTAGTGTATTTAACCTCAAACGAGCTGGCACGTGCAAGCGGCGCCGCCTCCGGGTTAGCCGTAACATTCCGTACATATCCCGGCGGCGCCTTCTTGTCGTAGGCTCCGGGTGCATAAGGGTGTTCCACGACGTCGTACGGGACATACGGCCAAAAGTCCGCCGTCTTCCCCGTCCGGTGGCGGACCCGATGCAGAACCTTATCGGGATCGACGTAACCCACCACCGTGAGCTTGCTCCGCTTCGGCTCCACCTCCACCTCCGTCACCCCTTTCATTCCCTCCACCGATTTCTTCACCTTTCTCTCGCACCCTTCGCAGTCCATCTTCACTTTAATCTCCACCGTCTTAAAAAATTAAAACCGAATCAATTAAATAAAGCTTAAAATAAATCGGTAATTTAATTTTTTTCTATGGGTTAATTTAAAAAATTTACCTGAAGTTGCCGGTTTTTCTTGAGCTTTTTACTGTCATGGCTGTGGCCGTGAGAGAAGTTGCAGACGTCAGCACAACGATCTAAAAAACCCATTACCGCCGGAATTATAAGAACACGGTGATCAAAAGAAAGTAAATTTTAAGATTGCTTTGCCTTCCGTTCAAACGACGCAGTAATATCTATGTAGGAACAATTTGCTTACGTGGCGCAGCTGATTACACGTCATTTTCTTTCACATTGACACGTGGATATTAATACACGTCTACGAATGAGGGAGTGCCATGTCATCATTTTTAATGGGTTTGTTTTTTAGCTGGGCTTGGGGTTCGGTGCTTCTGGTTACTTCTAAACCAAGAAATTTTAATCAAAGTTAATTCATTTATTTTTTAAAAAAGTTATATTTAAATAATGTTTTTAATATATATATTAGGTTTATCTCATTTCTAAAAATTTAAATTTCAATGATTTTAATTTTAAAATAATTGACAAATTCTCAAAATTAATTTATTTATTATATATATATTCTTTTTTTATTTATTAGGAGGGTATAAATCACACCTTCTAATATAAAAAACAAGCTAACATTTTTTTTACTCGATTTATTACATTCTATTTTTAATAATTATTTAATATTATTCGATCTCATTATTTATGAAATATTTATAAAATTTAATCAAAGCATTAACCAAATTAAATTAAAATTAAAATTATGATAAAATTATAAATACGTTAGATTGGGAGTTTATAGATATGTGTGGCGTTTGGTTTAAGATTTTAATAACGTCATTTTCGCTCTTGTGAGCCAATGTTTTAATTAGCCAACGGCCAATAAATGGATAATGTTTTTAATGCTCACCGCCATTTCACACCAATTTAGTTACTTTTAAAGAAAAAAAAAAAGTAATATTTCTCGTAATATATATATATATATATATATATATATATATATATATATATATATATATTATTTATTTTTTTTTTCTGAATGTAATATCAAATTTTAAAAACAAAAATTTAAAAATATTATAATTTAGTTGATAACATATTTTTTTATGACATATTAATGAATATTTATTTAATTGGTTGTGAATCAATTTCTAGATGATAGTTATGTTATACAGTTGAAGATGTAGACTTTGGGTTAAATTAGTGAGTTTTTATTTTCAATGAAAGTGAGACCGAATTGACCTTTTTATTTATTTTTTATTATTTGCTAAACTAACAATTAAAAATATAAATTATACTAAAATGTGTCGGAATAAAAAATTAATATTAATAATGGTTTGTAAACATCGGTAAACGTTTCAACTTTCAGTTAGACTCATTTAACTCATGGAGCCGAAAATTTATCCTGTACAAAAAGAAAGTGCTTACTGAAGAATAGCAAGGGAGGACAGGTTGGTTCGAGGACCCGTTGGTCAAAGGAAAGGGTAGGTCCTGATGTCGGGAATACACTGATAAGTGGGCTTGTGTCCGCCTTTCCATTCATTTCCTTCTCCACAACACACTGAATGAGATAGGGTGAAGTGCCTATCTTTCTTGTCGATCTGCTAACTGATCGTAGGTTCTTTAATTGGAAGCTGCTTAATGGGCACGTTCACTTTACTGAAATGTCAGTTGAAAAATACGAAAGACGATAGAGAGAGATTTTCTCTTAACAGAGTCGATAATTATATATAATGGAGAATATAATTTTTGTCTCGTGGTATATAAAAATTAAATAAAAATTAAAACAATAAAACATTTAAATATGAAAATAGCTATCACCGACATAATTGATATTGATTTTTAGCTGTTTAATTAATGCCAAATCATCAACTTCACAAAAAAAGCCGGATTAAGCCATTGATCAGTCGACACGTCAACAGCCAGCTCATGGGAAATCAAATAGCCAGTGATTAGAAGACACGTCATGTAGCCAACTCATGGGAAACAAAAGCTACCATTATATAAACAATACATGAAGCTCACTCATTACCCATCTCCAACCAGTCATCCATTTGACAAGAATGAAAATTCCTAATTACTTGGAGATATTTTTGTTCGTTTGCCACATCATCGTTGTCGCTGATTCTAACTTAGTGTCGAAAAAAGTAGAAGTTTCGGCAATACTTGTGTTCGGAGATTCTATCATGGATCCAGGCAACAATAACTACATCAAAACATTGGTCAAATGTGACTTTGCACCTTATGGAAGGGATTTCACTGGCGGAATACCGACCGGACGGTTTAGCAACGGAAAAATTCCTTCTGATTTTATAGGTTAAATTCTTAAACCCGTCAAAATAAGCTTTTGAGTTTAGTATGAATTTAAGGGGAAAGTAGCTAACCCGATACGAAATTTTGTACACGTATTTGTTTTGAGCAATTGAAAAATAAACAAATCTTGCATTATCGACTCTTTAACGTGATTTTTTTCTCCTAAAATTAATTGTGAGATTCAAACGTTAATATCTTTTATGACCGATGATATATATTTTAACTAGTTAAACTATGTTCATATTAATAACAAATACGATTCTTTTATTGCAAATATTGTTTGTAAGCTAATACGGTATATGTTTGTAAATTTTAAAACGTAATAGCGGAAGAGCTTGGTGTGAAGGAGTTGTTGCCGGCATATCTTGATCCAAATTTGACAATTGAGGAGCTTCTCACGGGCGTTAGTTTTGCTTCTGGAGCTTCCGGATATGACCCTCTCACGTCCAAGATAGCGGTAATCTTCATACATCAAATAATATCTTTTTTCTTATGACTCTTACAAAAATTATATATATATAGTTTAAGTGTTCGTTTTTTTTATGAAATATTATTAAATTTACGTTACATTTTTGTAATAGAAATTATTGGTTAAATTTTTTTAAAGAAACATTTTTTTAAGATATTTATATAAAATTGGAGAAAAATTACTTGGGAGCTTAGTATTGAGAATGTTTGCTAGGAAGTAGATATTTAATTTATAATAAAATATCATATATAATTTAATATTAAATGTCTTTAGCAAATATATGAAATAGAAGGGGAATTAAATTGTTTTATTTTTAAAATATCATAAAATAAATTTTAAAAAATTAGGAGTACTGATGATTTTTTTTATTTTTATTTTTTTTCTCAAAACCAGTCGGTGTTGTCGCTAGACGATCAACTGGAGATGTTCAAAGACTACATAAAGAAGATAAAAGCGGCGGTCGGAGAAGAAAAGGCGACGGCCATCCTATCCAAAAGCGTAATAATAGTCTGCACCGGCAGCGACGACATTGCAAACACCTATTTCATCACTCCGTTCCGACGATTCCACTACGACATCCCATCATACACCGATCTCATGCTCCGATCAGCTTCCAATTTCTTGCACCAGCTTTACGCACTCGGAGGAAGAAGGATCGGCGTTCTCAGCTTGCCGGCAATTGGCTGCGTTCCGTCCAAGAGAACCCTAAACGGCGGCATCGCCCGAAGCTGTTCGGAAGCTGCCAATGGAGCGGCGGCGCTTTTCAATTCGAAGCTATCGTCGTTGATTACGTCGCTCGGAAATCAATATTCGGATTCCAAGATTGCTTATTTCGATGTCTACAATCCGCTTCTTGCTCTCATTCAAAATCCTGCCCAATATGGTAATTTCTCTTTCATATGCTCTTATTTTGATGTCTATATAACTTTCAATTTTTTTAAAAGTTAATTTTTAATTCGGTCCTAATTTTTCGAATTCTCAATTTTACCCTTATTGCAAAAGCCAAGTTATCATTCGTTTCATAAAGTTTTTTTTTTTTTTTTTTTTTTTTAATTACAGTACTTTTCTTAATATATTTTTAAGTATTTTAAATTAACAGAATTATTAAATATAAAATTGAATTTTGTGTCCGTGAAAGTTCTTGTCAAAATAGACCCGTAAATCATAAAAAATAAAATAGTTCCTGTTAAAATAAACCTGTAAATCATAAAAAATAAAATGACTTGTTAAACTCAAAAGAATGAAGATTTAAGTCATACATATTAAACACAAAATAAAAAATAATGTATTTATAAGATGATTTTAAAGATTGTAATATAATTAAAAGGTTTTGGATGGATGTGGGGTGATTTCAGGGTTCGAAGAGGCGAAGAAAGGGTGTTGTGGCACAGGAAATATAGAGGTCAGCGTTCTATGCAACCCTTCATCCATACCATTATCGTGCCCCGATGCGGATAAGTACATCTTCTGGGATAGCTACCACCCTTCCACCAAAGCCTACAAAATTCTCACTCGTCAACTCGTAAAGGATGCCCTATCCAAGCTCTCCTAGTCCAAAAATGTTCAATAATATACTTGATCTTATAATGTTAGATGTATAAGGCTAGTGTATCAGTTTTTTCTTATACTTGTTTAAATATATATATATATATATAAACAGAAGTATATAATAATAGATAAATTTAAAATTTTACCTCTAACTAAGCTTCATAACCACCTAAACCCTAAACAAATATACTCAAAACTCCAGGATAGGGAATAGAAAGGGGAACGAACAGACACAAAAATTCGGGACAATTGCAGCACTGTTACTGGTATTGCAAATTCCCATTTTTCAAGTACAATCTGTTCCAAAACATGCCAATAAAATAAAGATGATATCTAGAGCAAAATAATATCAACTGGAAGAGAAAGTTCAGAGCATAATGGGGGGAAGGGAGGCATTTTATGCAGTTCAACCTTCAGAGGTTCCTAATGCCGCGTTTGAAGTTGGAAGATAGACATCTATAAAGCAAACGCCAAGGGGTAAGTCTCTGAAAAACAATAATAAAAGGATGGAAAGAAGAACCTTCAGACAGAAGAACAGAAGTAGCAGCAGCCCAGCCTCCACAATATCCAACAAAAGCCAACCTCTATGATAGATTCACCTTGCAGAACGAATGCGAATTTCTTTCCCGAATCACCGTGTTTTCTCATCTAAGAACTCGAGAGTTCTGACCCCAAAGATATCAAAAAACCAGCTGAGGGGCAACCATGGGGAGGCAAATCAAAATTCCCCACATTAAGTACATGCCATCATCACCAAAAAAGGAAAACCACAACAAAAAAGAATATGAACTTAAGAAACAAGCCATGCACCAGCACCATCCCACAAACCATAAATGCATCCCTCCACCGCAAAGGAACTGATGTTATAGTTTTTCTCTTTTTTTTTTTTTTTTTTTTTTTTTTTTTTT